GCACAGCCCGGCACAGCCCAGCACGGTACAGCGATGGCACTTACCGAGCTCCTCAGGCACAGCACAGCCCGGCACAGCCCAGCCCAGCGCGGCAGCAGCAGCAGCGGGCAGGGCGGGGCCGCCGCCGCCTTTCATAGCGGCCGGGCCGTGACGCGCGGCGGGCGGGCTGCGCTGCGGGACGTGCCCGCACACACGTCGGGAGGAGAGAGCGGGGAGGAGACCGGCAGAGGGGAGCTGGGGCGGGGCTGAGGAGCAAAACTCTCCGGCTCTGGAGGATCTGTGCGGAATTCAAGGCATTCCTGCCCTCGTTTCCCGCCCGGGCAGTGCCTGCCAGCCCTCTGTTTCTCCTCGGGGGTTTATGGCCGTAGTTCCGGATGGGGCCTCTTGTCGGGCGGCTGGAAACCAGCTTCTAATTTCCATCTAAGTCAATAGATGTTTGTGTTGTTTTGTTTGCTTCCCCTTTCCGTGTATTTGTATATCCAATTCCCCCTCATTTGTTGTGTTAGGTTATATAAGCCGAACCTTTTCAGCCCTGCATGGTCATATAGGTGGTTCCCTGGCCATTGGGATGTGTGTTCTGCGGCACTTTCTCAGTTTAAATGCTTTTAAAACGCTTTTTCTCCTGAGAGCGGCTGCTGCATGGAGTGTCAGACAGCGATGTCTCAAACACAAACTAATTTTTCCCGAAGTTGGTGGAAATTCCATGACTGGACTCACAGTGCTCTGTTTCAGTCACACCATGGTGTCAGTTTCCTGTGGTTAGTAAAGCCAAATCCTTCTCCACTTATTTCTTGCTCGGACTCCCAACAAAAAGCAAAATCAATTTTTAAAAAAATTATTTCCTCATTGCCTGAAGTCTCAGTTTTATACTATACTATTCTGTGGGTCATCCTACAAAACTGGCTTTTAGTAAATTCACGCTACCTTTTATCCCTGTATTATTCATCGAATATGATGTTTTTAGTTGGATTCTCCTTTGCAAGTTTTGTCTGAAGGGCTTCACAGACATCAAAATCACAGCCCAAACTTGCCTCCACCAGGGCTTATTACTTAGAACTTGCTGTTCTCTGGTCCTGTGGGTAATGCCTTCAAGTAGGCAAATTCACTTAAAATCTTTTGGATTTGTGCATGTCAGAGTTCTGGAATTGAGAATGCCTGGTCCTCCAGCTGGAAAACAGCAGACGCGGTGGGTTTTGCTCGCCATCTGGGAGATGTGTTCATTTATTATCTTTTACCCATTTCTGCTTTCTCCCTCTTCTCTTAGGCATCCTGTGTTAACCCCATGGATTATAATTTCATCTTTACTGAAAAACAGGTAAGTATTAATTTAATTTTGTGTGACTAGCTGTGTCACCTTTATTTTCTCATTCTTGTTTCTACAGTAATAATTTTTTTTTTTTTTGTAGTTGTGGTACCTTTACAACGTTTGACTTGGTTTCCTTTTGGGATTCTGTCTCTTAACTGATTTTTGGCCATACCTGTCCTCAGCTCCTAGGATGTACTCGAGTTCTTTTTGAGGTGCTTATCTTGCTGAGGCATGCCTGGTCACATATTATCCCAGTGACAATTCCCTTCTGCTGGGGTGATCTGACAGCAATGGTAACCCAAAGCTTCACCATTTATTTGACAACCCATTGGCAAAATAAAAGAAAGAAAAAATACTGGAGAGAAAACATCTAAAAAGGCTTGAAACATAGAATCTGCATAAGTTTGCATGAAACAAGACAGAAAAATACGAAATTCTGCTTATTATAAAGACCAGCACTTCCAGCAAAGGTGGTTAAATATACCAGGCTGCTGGTTGCACTAGATGTGCTGCTGGAGGAAGGAGTGATGCTTGTGGGATGTGCCATGTCAGAGAAGACTGGTCACTAAGGAAGGGAAGTGTGGGGAGATGCTGAGCTTGCCTAAGGCCACATGAATGCAGGATGAAAAGGAAACATAGTTCTGTCATTCTGCATCATTCTGGGTTCACTGAGCATCTTGTTCTGTCACAAGCCTCAAGGATGGATTAGGAAGTTTAGTTCTGCATCCCAGGAATCTGTGTTTACAGTGGCTCTATATGAATGGGACTAAACATCTCATCCAGGTTTGAGTTACAGACATCTGGCAGGACAGAAAATAAATATTTGACAGGAATTAAGACCAACAAGAAATATTTTTGCCTATAATAACTTTTATTTCTAAAGAATTTAAGTGCAAGATAGGAAGCTTCTATGACAATACTAGCTGAACAGAATAATAAACATTTTTAACTGGGTAACTAATGTAAAGCAAGTGGTATTTTACTACCCACAGTGAGACCAAAGCTCCTAAGAGAATACCTATTGGCATTGTAATATTTGGACATGGTTTTCAGGGTTTAAGTTCCAGCAACATCTTTGCTTGCCTTCACTTGTGTTTGTGTTGCTTGTTACTGAAAACAGAAGCAAGAATGAAATGCTGCTATCTATAAGACATCAGGTTGTCCTTATCTCTCTGGTGCCTATTCAGATACCAGGGGTCCTACTTTTAGTAGGGCAGGCCAAAGAAAACCAGCTGAGATGTTTCAAGACCATCCTGGTCCCAGCGTGCACTCAGTGATGATGATAAGCAGATTAGAACCCTTTTTTATTAAAAAATAGAGTCAACTTTTAATATGCACTTTTTAAAGTGCTAATTCACCTGTTAATTTATCTCAGTTACAGAACTGAGAAAGCAGCTGCAATGGCCAAATTTTTCCTTTTTTGTGGCCTTTGTGATCTTATTATCAGCAGTAGCTGCTCAGGAGGAAAGCAGTCATCTGGCATGATTGACATGGATTTTCTGCCTCAGAGAGCTTCAATGAGAGAAGGCTCAGAACAGCACAAACAGAATGGGGTGAGAAAATTACAGGCATTTTTCTTGCACTTGGAAGATGGAGGCCAGGTCTGTTCTGATGACCTGTAAGTGATTGATTGTAGGGATGGATTGCCTTTTCTCACATGTACATAAGGAGTTTTATTCTTCCTGTTCTTTCTCCACTGCTGCCTTTTATTGTGGTAGCAGGAGGTGGTGTTGATAGAGTGATGGGAATGCCAGAAATGTGACAGTATCTCTCCAGGGAAACTTGACCCTTCCTCAGCCTGCTTGCCCTCCTTTTCATATTAGTTTTCACAGATTAAACATGAATAATAAAGCAATAGAAGTTGCTGAATGTAGAAACATTTATATTTTTACTCTAAGAGTTAGAAGCAGAGCCTTTCCACTGGCCTCAGGTGGCATTTGATCAGGATCTGCGTGGTAACAGATGGAAACAAATGCCACATTCTTATTAAACAACGTGTTTGCCTTTAAACTATGAGATACCATTAGACCACTGTCACAAAAATAAAGTCCAGAGACAGTTATGCAAGGTGTTGTTATGTAGTTATGCAAAATGTTAGTAAATTTCTCTCCATTTTGCTAGTACATAGGAATTTTTACATGGTGACCTTTAATTTCTACTCTCTCCATTTGCTCAGGTCCTGGCTCATGACAGACTGAGTCAAAGCTGATGGTGCTGCAGGGGTGAATAAGGACACCAAACCAGGACCTGCAGGTTTTCTTCATGACCTACAGCTCAGCTGGGAGGTTATCAGTAAACCAAAGCTACTGGGGATGCTGACCAGCCCTGCAAAGGTCGGTGGCATTTCTCCACTCTACCTGAGACTTGAGGTTTAATTTGCTCTTAAAAATCCTAGGGGCTATTGCATGCATGATGAGTCCTGCCTTTGCTCTGACATCATGAAGGGCTTTGCTTTCACATGGTGTCAGTGTGTGAGGGAAGGACCTGGCACTGCACACAGCTACATCATCTTCCAGTCTTGTCTTTCCCTTTGATTTATTCTGAGACCTGAGCAATTCCCTCCAGCTTTAATGGCTTCGTTCCTCCTTTGTAAAATGTGAAGGTGTTTTTATCTACCAACCTGATGGTGGTACTGCAGAGATTTATTATGAAACATTTCAGCTTTATAAAGCAGCATAAAATCGATGGATGGTATTTTCCTGAACCGGCGAGGCCCAGACTCCAAAGTGGAACTTGACACCAAAAGTTCATAGAGCCAGAATGCTTGCATTATTCTTTTGAAATACTTACCAGGGTAAGATACAGGAAGTTGGTTCATACTCCATAGAAATCCATATTTTGTGTTCCTCCAGTTTGGTCGATATGGCCACATCAAACCATTTGAACTGATCTCCTAAGAAAACTAAAAGCTGAAAGATGAGTTTCATCCTGGCTTGCATTAACAAGTATCTCTGCACAGACTGATGAGCCATGATCCATGCACCTCTGGGTGCCTCTCCTGGGCTGCCTCGGGGCACATCTCAGGGTGTGATGTTAGAGATGCGCAGCTTCTGCTCCCCACGCCCTCGCTTTCTTTGCACGGTCACTGTGGGGACGAGGAGGGGCTAGTGATGCAATTCTCATTTCCTGCTGTTTACGGGGCTGTGTCTCTACAACCTATTTTTAAATGTGCAGGAGGGGAATAAATACGGAGAGCTGTGAAAATAACAGTCAATGTTTGGAGCACCCAGACTTCCACCATAGGTTTTTTTTTTTGCCGGATGTCTGTTTTTGATTGCAAACTGCTTTCTAGCTGGCATCTTTCAATGTCCAGAACTTCCATATTACAACAGTTTTTCTTTTACCCTTAGGAAGTTGTTTTTGTTTGCAAATACACCTGCAGTGTATTATGCATTCAATATAAAGCTAGATAAAACCGTATATTTTTGCAATAGCTTCCCAAATCAACACTCTAGGTAGCGGGACTAAGCAGAACACGTGATTTTGTCTTGTTTCTCTAAAGAAATGAATTATTCATGAAAGCATGAGTCACCGTGCAGGATTCCAAGCCAAACCCATTCCCTTGATGCAACTCTGGAATCTTACTCGTTTACTTAGGAACTGAAGGAAATGGGATGCTCTGGTAAATGACATGCACTTAACTACACAGTACTGCCTCTCTTTTGGATGGAGACACTTTTCTACCATTTCAGACCTTATTTATCTAGTTGATCTAATAGTGTGATAGCAGATTATGTAGTCTCTCCCAGCCAAAAATCACTGTGTC